TCACTAATGAACTAACGCGCTCGGCTTTACCCTGTGTGTGAAAGGAACAGAGGTGCCCACAGGAGCGGAGCCAGCCTGGAGGAGAGCAGGGCAGTGAATGCCAAGCAGGGTGAGGCTGACGTGGGCGTGGAAGCCGCGGCTGATGGGAGAGACAGCAGAGACAGCACACGGGGGAGGCAGGACAAGGTCTGAGGGCTGCGGAAGGGGCTGTCCCCCAGGCTGAAGGGGCCCGGGCAGGGGGTGGCTCAACTGTCCCCACCTGCACTGCTCCACCACCCACTTCACCACCCGTCCCTCACACACACCCAGTGAGCACAGGCGGCTGGCACTGACCCTGCAGCATAAATAAAGACGCTCTCTGGCAGCTCTTCTCCAAAGACATGGAACCTCTGCACTGGAGAGTCAAGGCTTTTTCATCAAGGCTCGAGGTCCCACAGTCAAGTCCTCCTCCTGGCAACCAGGTGGCCTCGGCCTACATGAGTTCCTGCCCCCCTCACCCACCTCGGGTCCAGAGCACCCAAGGAGAAATGCTGCATGGAGCTGCCACCTGGTCCATGGATCTTGCATGCAAAGTGCTAGACGTGAGCCCTGACCGGTATTGCTCAGTGGATAGAGCGTCAGCCTGCGGACTGAAGGGTCCCAGGTTCGATTCCGGTCAAGGGCATGTACCTTGGTTGCGGGCACATACCCAGTGGGGAGTGTGCAGGAGGCAGCTGATCAATGTTTCTCTCTCATCAATGTTTCTGACTCTCTATCCCTCTCCATAAAAAATCAATAAAATCTATTTAAAATTTTTTAAAAAGCTCCAGATGTGAGCAGACGCAGCAGCACGAGAAAGGCAAAGAAATCCTGGTGGGAACAATGACAGGCGGGAAATAGGAGAAAAGTCGGCTCAAAGACATTTCAGAAACATTTGACAGAACCAGAAGAGGATGATTTGAAAAAAGAAATAATCAGAGCACAATCTGAAAAGCAATTTGAGATTTAAATTAGGATCGCTGAAACAAAATGTTCCGAAGAATCCTAAGATGGAGACGGTCTACTGGAGCACAGGATAGAGAGAGAAAACGGGAAGGAACAGATAAAACCAGAAACCCGTGCTCACCACATGGAGGTCTGGGAGGAGAGAAGGCTGGGAGGGCAGGGAGGGGAGATAAAGTCAGCCACTCCCCCATCTCTGCATCACTCCTTCTCAGGGGAGCCCGGATGGGAGCCCCTGGACTTAGCACCCCAAGACCGGGGGACGGTGTACTCAGGAAGGGGAGCTGGTGGTCAGGAAATGGCAAGTGATACCCCTTGGTTGATGTGGCCAGACCGCACCGCCCTCAGTATAACCCATCTGTGTCGCTGCGGGAGACACTACACTCAGGGCGGGGACTGACCCTGCAGCCCCTCACAGAGCCTGCCTCCCGGGAGGTTCCCCTGCTTACGGCTGCACCAGCTCCCTCTGTCTGGTTCACAAGGACATCAGGACTTTTCTGACGGCTGGCGAGTGCCTGGCTAGTGAACATTCGGCCTTTTCCAGAAGGTCCCTAACAGTCCGCAGCAATACACTCCCCGCAGCCAGGTTTGTGCTGAGATTCTGGTCATGACCAAGGGGCACAAAGGTACATTTCTTTTTAACTTTATATTACTTTTTTTTCTTTTTTTTTACAGAGAGGAAGAGAGAGGGAAAGAGAGTTAGAAACATCGATGAGAGAGAATCATCGATCAGCTGCCTCTTGCACACCCCCTACCGGGGATGTGCCCACAACCAAGGTACATGCCCTTGACCGGAATCGAACCTGGGACTCTTCAGTCCACAGGTCGACGCTCTATCCACTGAACCAAACCGGTTTCGGCTATTTATTACTTTTTTTTTTTTTTTTTTTAATATATTTTATTGATTTTGTACAGAGAGGAAGGGAGAGAGATACAGAGTTAGAAACATCGATGAGAGAGAGTCATCGATCAGCTGCCTCTTGCACACCCCCTACTGGGGATATGCCCGCAACCAAGGTACATGCCCTTGACCGGAATCGAACCCGGGACCCTTCAGTCTCCAAGCCGACGCTCTATCCATTGAGCCAAACCGGTCCCGGCTATTTATTACTTTTAAAAGTATATTTTTATTGATCTCAGAGAGGGAGAGGGAGACGGAAACGAGAGAACATTGTGGACCGGCTGCCTCCTGCACACTCTGTTGGGGATGAGCCCACCAGCCGGGCCTGTGCCCTGACAGGAAATCTAGCTTTGACCTCCTGGTTCCTAGGCCGGCGGGGCCAGTTTCTAGTTTAAACATTAACTAGGTTTGTTATGGACTGTCTGTAGGTGTGACATCTGTAAGGAGACTTCCGGTTTCAGCTGACAGGGAAGGGACCGGAAGTCATCCTCCCATCCTTACCAGAAAGGAGCTCAGGAACGAGAGCTCGGTGCCTCCCTGGGACCGCCCGGGAGCGGAGGCGGAGGACAATGGCAAATGTGGAGCACAGAGAGCAGGGGAGACTCCGGAGCAGGAACCTCTGAAGCCAGGCAGGAGCACGTCCACGGGGTCTGACCATGCTGGGCGCGGCGGACTGTGCGTGAGACACGCCTGGGCTGCGGTCCTGGCGGGCAGAGGGCTCTGTCCTGGGCACCCCTGGGTTCCTGCCAGGGTCTCGCAGTTCACAACCAAGAAAAGGAGTTCCTTCGCAGCTAACCGAGAGGAGAAAGAGCCCACCACCCTGACACACACTGGCGTCCTTCTCCGGGACAAAGGCCAGCCCCAGGGAAAGCCTTTCTGGAGCCTTAGTCACCGAGGGGAAGAAATGGCTAACCAGATTCCATCACCCAGGGGAAGCTCGTTTGTCCTCTGCCAAAGAACTTTCCAACGAGCCAATGCTTTCTACACGGCAAGCTGCAGCCCCGCCCTTAGCCAATCACTAGCTCCGAGTGACTCCGCCATCTGCTTACAGGAACAGCCTCTGACATGGAGGATTCGTTAAGGAGATGCCTACTCAGTAAGCTCTTCTTGCTTTCTCTGGGGACATATATTTGGTTCACAGCATTTTTCAGTATTAACCACTCTTATGATTTTTTTCTCAAAATGAGATCGTTTTCTTATGTTTCAAAGACAAAACTCACATTAGTATTCTCAGGAATAAGAATTATCCTAGGGCCGAAACCTGTTTGGCTCAGCGGTAGAGCGTCGGTCTGCAGACTGAAAGGTCCCGGGTTTGATTCCGGTCAGGGGCATGTACATTGGTTGCGGGCACATCCCCGGTGGGGGGTGTGCAAGAGGCAGCTGGTCGATGTTTCTCTCAACGACGTTTCTAGCTCTCTATCTCTCTCCCTTCTCTCTGTAAAAAATCAATAAACTATATTTTTTTAAAAAAAGAATTATCCTAGGGCTTTATTATTGTGGCTTTAAAATGCACACAAGAAAAGTGCACTAGTACCTGCAGATAAATATGGAGGTTGGCCGAAACCGGTTTGGCTCAGTGGTAGAGCGTCAGTCTGCGGACTGAAAGGTCCCAGGTTCGATTCCAGTCAAGGGCATGTACATTGGCAGCTGGTTGATGTTCTCTCTCATGTTTCTCTCATCGACGTTTCTAGCTCTCTATCCCTCTATCCTCCTCTCTGTAAAAAAATCAATCAATCAATATATATATATATATATATATATATATATATATATATATAAAAATATGGAGGTTGAAGGGAAAGGACTTCTTAGGAAATTATACGTCCCAGATAGGGTGTCTCTTCAGCTCCCTCTGCTGGCTACCACTTAAACAGAGTAAAAACAAAGCGAGCCAAAGCCTCTTCTCTCTTCTCTTTGGGGAGCTGTGGGGAGAGGAGATGCGGTGGAGTGGAGGGTGCTGTGGAGGCTAAGCCTGCTGCCGCCTGCCTCCCCTAATGAGGCTGTAGGATTTCCAAACGGAGTTGGCCCAGGGGGTAGGTTTAAAATAGGGAGAGTTCTTGTCAAGTCTGAATATGTTAGTCATTAAATCGATATGCAAAACTATAAAAGCATTTAATATAAAATGAAGCAATTATAAATGGTTAGCATTTAACACTGGAAAATTAAGAATTTAAATATATTTCACAAACTCCTCTAGAACAATAAGCTTGTAATATTATATAATCTATTTGTTTAAATATTAAGGTTTATTTTTTTTCCAGAGTGAGATTAAGCAACAATTTAAATAATTATCAGGATGTATTAAATGAACATCCATTCAGATAAAACATTACCGCTTAAAAGTGGATATGAAATATTTTGCATGTAATAAATATATTTAATGTTTAGGTTAACAAGCACCATCTCGAGAGCAGAAAAGTATTTTTTCATAACCAATAAATAAATTACATTCAGGAAAACAAGGTGTTTATATCTGAAGTATCAGATAACTTTAAATGTTTTTCTTAATATAGCACCCAAACTTCCACACTGTCTAGAAAGTATCTCCCAAAATATAACTCATACCTTACGTCATAAAAATAAAGGCCAAGAAAAAAATCAATTTAAGACAAAATTTACAATTTATATTAATTCCCCATTCAATAAAATACCAACTGCCAAATCGTTAAAAGTAAATGAACTGTATATATGCAATCCATTAGTGCTGAAAATCTGAAATATATATTTTTAAAAGTCATTCTTTCTCAAAGTATTTAAAATATTGCATCTCTGGTGGCAAACCTGAAAATTACCAAGCATTTTATTTCCCTTGTTTTCATACTTCTGCTCCCATCCCCATCCCTTTAACCGTCATCCAGCTTTTTTTCTTGTTTTTTTTTTTGTAAATACACTTGCTTATATCCCAAACACAAAACACTGACAATGCTCCTTGGGAACCAAGGAAAGCCCAGAGCAGCCCCAGCCCACAGCTTTGCTCCCCAGCGGGGCCCAGGCGCAGGGACAGGAGGCCAGCACCGGCCCTTCCTGAGGCCTCAGAACACTCCGGAGAGTCCACAGCTGTCTGAGGCTTTGCTGATGCAATCCCGAAGAAAGTGTCAACACATTCTGCAGACAAATATCAGAGAATAAGTCTTTGATTGATAATTTTTCTATTTATTTCTGCCAAGGCGACTGAAAACACAAAAGCCTTTTCATCAGAGAGGTTAGCATAGATGTCAATTTCCTTTTCCTGTTTTTCTGTTAAAAGAAAAAGGGAAAGCTTACTATAAAAGCAGTAGATACAGTGTTTTTGTTTAAAAATTTAAAGCTTTCAAGTTTTTCTTTAAATGACAATATTATACATGATACTACAATGTACATTAAGTATTTCAAAGTATTATGCTACTGAACTGAAAAAAAAATTAATTTCAAAGGAGTTATTGAAATGTCATGAACTGTATTCTGAAGACTAACTGGACAGACTATTTATATTTCTATATATCTTCTAATATCTACATCATTTCTGTAAGAACTCAAATTTCTTTCTCCTTGCTAGTATGAGTCAAATGACTCTACCAAAATGAATTTTCTCACCCTAAAGATAGTCCTTCCTGAAAATCAATGGTTTCTTTCTGACTATATTAACTTCTTCACCTTAGCCTTGCTACCAAATATAATAACATTTATTTCCATTTTTCCTTTCCTGATTAAAAATGCAATCTAAGTTCACGGTAGGAAAAAAAAACTTAAATACAGAAGGACAAAAAGAAGCACCTAGCTTGTAAGTCAGCACTTTTGTGTACATTCTTCCAAAATTCCACAAGCTCTACCATGATTCCACTTTTGTCTGTTTTTTATGCTATCATTGTTTTGCTCTTTAATCCAAGTTAAACATTCATCTATCTTAAAGTCAAATTATTTTCACAGAACTGGTTACCAAAGTCACAACTCCTCCTCCCATGCACACTTCCTCCTCTCCACATGCACCCACTCTCTGTCTCAGCTATTCCTTCTTGTTTTTGCCTCTGTCTGTAAAGAACATTTTTACATGATGCTACTGCTTGGTTTTTTTGTTTGTTTTAGGCATTAACTGACTTTCCCCAGTGGAAAATTAGGATTATATTGTTTTCCATCTCTTGCCCCCACCACATGCTTCCCTTCCATCTTCCCATTATATCACAATTTTGGTGAGATTACTATTCAATATTCACATTATTCTGACTGTGTAAATGATTTCACTTTCCACGTACACTGTCTTCCCTGAAAAGATTCTCTTTTCACATCTGCTTAGTTTTCATTACTAATTGAACCTAACTCTCTACGAGTTGTATAACATTTTCAGAATGTTTATACATAATCAGGTATTAGATCAATTTTTCCTCTGGAGTAAATCTCTGCAGGTCTTCTGCTCTGCTCCAATCTGAAATGGTTGTTTTCTGAGCTTACTGATAGCACTTATCATCTTGGGATCTCTCAACAACATCATCGCGCTGGAGATCCTCCCCTCCCTCAATCAGCATGCTTTCTTGGTTCACTTCTTCGTTTGATGGCATGTATCTTGCAGTAGGTCCTGAGAAAGGGAGTGTAGGCAGCTAATTTTTGAGACCCTGAAGGTCCAAAATACATCTATAGCCTACCCTCACACTAATTCATAGTGTGGCTGACTAAAGACTCGTAGATTTCCACTCAGTATTATGAAGGCAAAAAACTGTCTTCCATTAACTGGTGCTACAAAAAAAACACACACAAACACACACAAAAAAACCAATACCCGTTCTTACAGTTTAAAAAAATTATTGCTAAATCTCAGTGAAATATATAAATTAGATCTTAAGTGTAGAAATGGAAGGATTTTAACGAACACATGCCAATGTAACCCACATCACAACCATGATACAGAAAATTCCTTCCTCACACTCCTCCCCGACAATCCCTCCCCACCCATCAGCAATGACCTCTACTTCCATCGCCTAGAGTAACCTTGCCTCCCCTTAAACTTCACACACATGACATCGTACTGGTTTGTGTCTAGCTTCTGCTGTTTGATGTGTTCTTGAAATGCTCTGGTACTATTCACATATCAGTAGATTGTTCCACTGAATTAGTTCTAATACCATCTGATCCTTTTGCCTTTTCCCTGAAGACTGGAGGGTTCCTTTAACCAGAGAGATGACTCATGATAATGTGCTTTGGCAGAACCCTCTGTAGCCGTTATCCACTGCGAATCTGGCCGCTTCAGTGGGGAACGCAGTCCTTCAGGTTTGGGACTTCTTAGATTGTGTCTCTGTGCACGCCTTCTGCATCTTCTGTGTTCCTCTGCTGCAATGTCATTGTTTACAGATGCTGACCTCAAACTGGTTCTCTAAATGTCTCACCTTTCCCATGCTGTTTTTCCCCTCACATCCTATTGTTCTACTCGCTGGTACATTTCTTCAATTTTGTCTATAAGCCTTTGGTGATGGCTCTTCATTTCTGAAAATCATATGTATGTGTGTGTTCATATTTTAAAGTTCCTTTTCCAGGTACTTTTTTTGGACACTGGCAATTTTTGTTTACATATCATCTTGTTCTTGTTTTATGACTACAAAATGTTCTCTTTCTATGAATATTTATGATAGCCTTAATTTTTCTTCTCCCTGCAAAAACTTGTTTTATTCGAATGTTTTTTCTTCCCTGATGACTTGGTCTTAGCCTTGCATACTAGGTGCTGTCTTCCGTACATCCGGGTAATGCTTGGCCATATGCTCATACAGGGGAGTGGACCAAAAAAGCTGACTGGCTCCTGCACACAGGGAGCCTGGCTGTGGCCGGCCCTGCGGGATGCTCTGCCTGGGCCGGTTCTTTGCTCTTGGGCTCTTCAGAGCCCCTAGAGAAGATGCTTCTCATCTCTTACCTGGGAGACAAAGCCTTCCTGCAGAACCCCATGCCTACCACCTCCTATTCTCACCTCACCTTGATCTTCACCTAGTTAGTACCCTGCCCTCAGTGAGGCCGGTGTGCTCTAGGCCAGAGATTCGCTCTGTCTCATCTTTTTCAAAGGATAAACTTGGAGAGAGGTGTAAACGGCCTTAATGGGATATTTTAAAAAACAGTCTTTCAAACAATATTGTTTATAGCCTCACTTCCACCTCTATACTTCCCGACATAACTGATGTGCAAATTCCTCATCTTAAAGCAGTTGTGTAAAAAAAATCATTTTTTTTTCTTAGCTTTCGCCAAAGGAGCTTACAATTTAGGTTTCATAGGTGTGCTAAAGCAGTTATCATTTTCCAGAATTTTGCTGTTTCTCCCATTCCGTGTCCTTATGGGATTTTGCCATTTTTGAAAAATATCCTTATAGTAGGATTTGGGGAGGATGCAGAGCTAAATGTGTTTATTTAAGTCACCATCTTTAACTTGAAGTCTACAGGAATTCTATGTGTTCATTAATAAGACATTCAGAATTGCCCAATATATTTTAGTCAAAAATGTCACTACATTACTAATATCCCAAGTAATTATACTCCCCACATATAAAATGAAGACTTATCTTTTTTTTATTTTATTGATTTTTTTAGAGAGAGGAAGGGAGAGGGACAGAGAGCTAGAAACATTGATGAGAGAGAAACATTGACCAGCTGCCTCTTGCACACCCCAGGGATGTGCCCGCAACCAAGGTACATGCCCTTGACCAGAATCGAACCTGGGACTCTTCAGTCCAAAGACCTACGCTCTATCCACCGAGCAAACCGGTTTAGGCTGAAGACTTATCTTAAACAAACCAAAACTTGTTATGTTTAATGATTTGTTTTTATGATTTTATAAAGATAATATTGTTATCTGGATGCCTAACAAGCTTGCATTCTCTATCCTTCCTTCTTCCTGTTCTTTTTCAAAATATTGAAAACAAGGAAGTCAATTGAAAATGTGTTTTTAGAAACACTGTCAGGTTGTTCTTATTAAAATAATGGCAAACCTTGCTTCAAACTTTTCAAGTGCCCAGTGAGCAGACAATAAAAACTAAATTAAATAGCTACTTAACACTAAGAAGCATATCAAAGAAGTCTATTCTAGTCTTCTCACTGAGCTCCTTTCTGTGGCTCTGTGGCAGTTATGGATTTGCATGAGAAGAGACAATTCACAGAGCTAGCATTATTCTGCCTCCTGTCTTCAGAGCTATATGCTGCTGTTTTTTGAGACGTTTTTGCAAAAAATTAAAATTAAAAAAAATAAAAGAAATCTAAAACATATGACACTCGAAAAGTCCTATTTCCTCTCTGTATTTAGAAAACTTGGTCTGCCTCAAAGGTTAGCAAAGTGCAGCCTAGGTGCCCCGTCTGCCCACCACCTGTTTCTGCCAAGCCTAACTGGCACACGCCCGGCCCGCTCATTTACATAGTGCGGATGGCTGTTTTCCAGCTGCGATGACAGAGCAGAGCAGCTGTGAGAGACTGTGTGGCCCACAAGGCCTGAAACATTTATCTGGCTCTTTACCATCCACCCCACCCCTGGTCTACATTGAAAGATTTGTTTGTTCTGCCAAAGTTTTGAGCACTTTCCAGTTTGTATTAGGAGCCAATAAATTAAGCCATATTTTATTCTAGAAATCATTTCTTAAAACTTTTTTAATAATAAACTTAAAATACCTGAAAAAATGTATAGCCAAATCAATGCTTCTTTCTTCCAAGTTACCATGGAAGGAAAGTCCCAACCTGCATATCAGGTCCTGGTACCACCCAGACTCACTCCCTGTCTGTCTTCTCCCCACCGCTCACCCTCCACCAAAGCATTCCTTCTCCGTCTGCCTTTGTTCCAGTCCCTTTACTTAAGAATGCTCTGTTTTCTGGGCCAAGCAGTATTTCCTCTCTCCCTTTTTTCTGTGACTTTATTCCCTGGTAGCACTGATTTTTCTATCACCCCCTGTGAGAGCAGCACATTCAGACTGAGGAAATAACTCAAACTCTGGGAGAGCAGTAACAGACGGAAAGAGAAAAAGCAGTGAAACTACGCAGGAATGAACAAGTAAGGACAGTCTTCACAGAAGACAGTCAAACACAATGCAAACGGCATTCCCTTAGCCATACAACAGAAAACCTTCACTCTGACTAAAGTTAAGGACAGCTGTACCAGTGAAGTCATTTTCCCTAACAGCTGTTACTTTATTCAGTTAAAAGCAGAGAAAAATGATAAACAAATAAAACTTTCTCAATGTCTTAAAAAAAAAAGAGAAGTTTATATTTATGCTCAATATTTGAATACCTACGACTGAATATCTGAAAAAGCAGAGCACAACTCACAAATATCTAAGAAACACATTTCACTGAAAATAAAGTTACTTTAAGAGGTTTTTAAAGAATTGTAAAGAGCAACCATACTGAAGAACTTTTTCAATAGTTAATTTTAAAAACTAATAGTATAGCAGTTTGAAATGTCTTAATAGAACCCACGTTTATCTTTAAAAAAATAAAAGCACAACCACTTGAACAGGATGTCACATACACATTATTATCTCTGAACTCTACTATCATCAATTCATAGCAAGGTGAATATTACCTAATTTAAGCCTTTAGTTTTCTAATAAAAATTACATTGATGAGCAACATCAACATCAACTGGCTGCTTCCTACACACCCCCTCCTGGAGATGGACCTGCCATCTGGGCATGTGCCCTGACCAGGAATGGAACCAGAGATCTCTTAGCGCACTGGCTGATGCTCAGCCATTGAGCCATACTGGCCAGGCGAGGAAATGGGGATTTGTGAGGCCAGGAGCTCCATGCCTGGCGAACGCTTCCTTCGAGGCTAGCTAATTAGATCTTAGGAACACGGAGAGCGTGGCAACAAGCTGCTTGGGTCATCATACCTCTTTCTTCCTCGTGTCTTTTGGCAGATGCACTCTTAGGCCTTCCTCGGCCTCGCCTGCTGGGATCTGAGTGGCTGTTGCTCCGGGACCTCTTCCTGTTTTCCAAGTCCTTATTTCCTGTCGGGTGCATCTTCTCTCTCCTGGCTCTCTCCGTGCGCCTCCTCTTGGCCTCGTGCTTGTTCTCTGAATGGGTGAATAAAAGTGATATGTTTTAGGGCTTAGCAAGAACTGTTTGCCCAAATTCTCCCTCTCTTCCTTTTCTTTCTAAAAGCACTAGAGTCTGCTGCCTGGCAAATTTCATACACTGCCACCATGACATTTACGCCCCTATTAGCCACACAGGAAAAAAGAAATTCAACAGCATTCAGGTGACCCATGAACACATAAGGGAAGTCTTATAACAGAACACTTTTCTTTACTTGGCACCTTTAACTCCAACCCCTACAAGCCTGCACAACTCGCCGAAACCGGTTTGGCTCCATGGTAGAGCGTCGGTCTGCAGACTGAAAGGTCCCAGGTCTGATTCCATTCAAGGGCATGTACCTGGGTTGCGGGCACATTCCCAGGAGGGGGTGTGCAAGAGGCAGCTGGTCGATGTTTCTCTCTCATTGACGTTTCTAGCTCTCTCTCTCCCTTCCTCTCTGTAAAAAATCAATAAAATTTTTTTTTAAAAAAGCCTGCACAACTCCACAGTGACCTTTCTGCTCTTTCTCTCTGCTTCCAAGCTAAAAAGGGTGACGTATTAGAAAAGGGGGAGGAGTTTCATTCTTTTCTTGCCACTATGCAAATTACGTGTTGAAATATGTCAAGTATGCAGAAGCGAAACTGACCTTGCCATAATATATTACAGTTACCAATAAAAAACAAACAGAAAGCATCCACAGAAAATATAACAACACTAGGAAACTAAGTAGTTTTCATCACCTTAGCCACAGAGGAGGTCATTTCTGACATTCTAAGAACATGCTGATCCGTAAATGGAACAGCAACAGAGGCACTTGACTCAATATGGTCATTTAATTAATACAAGAAACCACCCTCTCACTCCAAACAAATCAAAATGATTTGATTTGATAAGACAACAACAATTTTTAAACAGCAAAAACCAAAACTTGTTTTAATCCATCCATAACTGAAAAGAAAATTCCCAAATGCTTAAAAATTACTGTGGGAGAGGCAAATTACTGCTACAAAATGCATGAACTTGGGAAGCATTAGGCTAACTGAGCTAAGCCAGACACAAAGGACACACACTACAGGATTCCACTTTCAGGAAACAACAGTAGTCAAATTTACAGACACAAAAAGGAGAACAGTGGTAACCTGGGGCCGGGAGGGTGGGGGGAGGGGGGGAGGTGGAGGGATGAGGGGTTACTGTTTAACGGGTACAGGGTGTCGGTCTGGGAAGATGAAAAGAGTTCTAGAGATGGATGGTGATGATGGTTAAGTACACAATAAGAATGTACTTAATGCCACTGAACTGTGCACTTAAATGCTCAAAATACTAAATTTTGTATATGAATTTACCTCAATAAAAAATGAAAAAATAAGATTTGATAAACAAGATGAACTGCTAAAAATTAAAGTGCAAAAGACATACTAAAAAACAGCATGTCTGCAGACCAAATTTCAGACCTAGAAAGGAAATTCAATGAAAGTTCCTGGAACAAAGCAGAAGAAGGACAAAAAGAGAGAACATGTGACAGTAAGTGAAGAGAAATGAGAAAGGCCCAAGAATCCAATGCTGCTCACCTATGCCAATACTGTAATTATCTCCCCATACTCAGCCTCCCTCCAGGATAAGCACAGCATCCTGTGTGTTCCTAGGGCAATGTGCCCGCTAACATACACATCTGAGACTCCTCATGGGGAGCGGCCATGAAATGCAGTCTGGCAGCGGTGGAGTAAGGTTTCCAGAGAGATTTTTTCAGGGGACAAGCATGGCTGGCGAGTCCCTCTGCCTTCTCTCTTCTTCCTGCTCAGGATGCTTCTGGGAGGCCACCTCCTCCCAGGGCGAAAGACACAATCTCTCAGGAGAGAAGGAAGAAAAGGACCCAGGGCCTGATGCTATCACTGAGCCCTAGTCCTGTGTGGCCACCATCGTCTTTCTTCACTAAGCTGGACGGCAAACTCTGTCCAACCCAGGGCCAGGCAGGTTTGCTGGGGATGCTGATCCTTATAGGTCACCCAGGAAGTACTGCCAAAAGGAAAGGGAAGGATGATGGTGGGAAATACAGAGGTAAAAACTGCCCTCAGCTGCAGCCTGGAGCGTTCCAGAGGAAAGGCCCGGAGGCCAGGAAGAATGGGAACACTTAATGCAAAGTAAAGGCATTCCGCACATGCAAGATAGGAAATGCATCACATGTTTCCATGAAAATTTTTCCAGGTCTGAAACAATTTCTGCAAAATTTGTTCCAGAGACAAAAACACATGGGTAAAAAAAAAAAAAAAAAAAAAAAAAAAAAAAAAAAAAAAAAAGTACATACGAAAAAGTGGGATTATCCTAAAACCATTTTTTTTTTTTTAGTTTATTTTTATTGATTTCAGAGAGGAAGTGAGGTGGAATGAGAGAGGTAGAAACATCAATAATCAGAGAGCATCACTGATCGCCGCCTCCTGCACTCCCCACACTGTGGATGGAGCCCACAACACACAATTAGTATGTCTTTTGCAAAGGCCTAAAACTGTTCTTTATCAGAAGTCAGAGGATTCTATTTAAAAAGGTCTTAAAGCTCAGCTGGTGTGGCTCAGAGTTGAGTATCAACCTATGAACCAAGTCATGATCTGATTCCCGGTCGGGGCATGTAGGAGGCAGCTAATTAATGATTCTCATCCATTGATGTTTCTCTCTCTCCCTCTCCTTTGCCCTCTGAGATCAATAAAAATATTTTTAATTAAAAAATTATCTTTTATTGCTTTGATTTCACTTTTTAAGTTAGTACAATTTTAGGTTTAAAGACGGCTCTTTTTTTTAATTTAAATCCAAACTTCTTATTCTGTTTACAAAGTCCTACTTAATCTGGCCCCTGCCTAACCCTCCGGCCTCATCTCCACACTCTCCCGCTGACTACCCTGCAAGCACATTAGTCTTCATGTTCCTAAAATATACCAATCTTTTTCTAGCCTTAGAATTTTTGCATCTGCTATTTCATCAGTCAAGAATGTTCTCCCTGATCTGATCATGACTAGTCCCTTGTTCCATTCAGCCTCACCTTAAATGGCACTTCTCAGAGGCCTTCTCCAACCATTCAATCAAAGGAGCCTTCTAGTCACACGCTGGCACAGTCCTCATCTGAATTTCCTACACGGCACTTATCACAAGCTGATATTCTCCACCGATTTGTTCACTGCCTCTCTCCTGCTCACAGGAGCATTAGCTCCATGACAGCAGCGAGCAGCCACGCTAGGACAGTCATTCATTCATTCATTCATGCATTCATTCATGCATTCATGGCCAAGGCTCTGAATAGTGCCTAGCATACAGCAGGTGCTCGGAACATATTTGTAATCAACCTACTTTTATTTGAGGATCATCGCTATATGAAGTCTGATTTTACCAGAGAATAAGTAACAAAATTTCATCTTTTAATAAGTATATCCATTGAATAAATCCAATCTGTCCAGTTAATGGGAATGTAAAATAAGATTATTTTTTAGATCTTCTAAATAAAGAAATTATAAACAATAATCAATGTGTCTAAAAATTACATTCACACCAAATCAAGCTATTATTTTTTCCAGTCACTAGTTTAAAAAACTCGAAAGTTGTTATAAATTTTATCAGCATGATGAAGGAAAAAACCCAAATGTCCATCAACCAGTAACTACATAAACAAATTAGGGCATATCCATGCAGAGAATACTACTAAGCAATAAAAAGGGTACTTTTTCTTGATGTAAACAACGTGGCTGAGTCTTAAACTAGCTCAGTGACAGAAGCCAGACAAAAAGGAATACATATTACATGATTCTATTTATATTAAGTTCTAGAACAGTGACAGGAAACAGAGCAGCAGGTATTTGGGGCTGGGGCAGCAAGACTACAAGGGAACGAGGAAACTTTGGGAATGAAGGACATGTTCGTCATCTTGACCGTGGTAACTGACTGGTGTGAACATGACAGGCTAATCACACTGTGGAGTTTACATATGTGTCACTTGTTGAACGTCAATTATACCTTAGTTGTTTATGTAAATCAAATCGGGTACACACCCTTGCATTAAAATCCTTCAATGGCTCTCCGTCCTCCAAGAACAGAAAATTTGTTACAAGCTTACCAGCACGATAAGGGATTATCATTTAAATGAAGGAACAGCAAAACTAATGTCATAAGCTGACTTCCAACAGCTAATAAAAACCAGACACACTTCAATAGATTTTAATATTTGACTTCAACAAAAATGTAAATAGCAAATTCACACAAAAAAAATAAATTTCTACATCAAATCTGAAAATGTGGTAAGCTCTCAATTACCTGTTGAAGGTGGTGATTTCTCTGGGTGCTTTGCATTTAAAAGTTTTCTGCTAATAAATATGTAACCACAGGGACATGACTTACATGCAACAGGAACCTATAAGAAAAAAAGAAAAAAAATATATTATTACTATTTTTCTATTGTTAACCTTCCCAATGTTTACAAAGTCTCCTAAACTGAATGATAAATTAAAGTAGGAATCATAGATTTATTTAAGCCCCAGCTGCATACAACAAATTATTTGAGGTGGGTATTGTGTCCTATACATCTTCATATTTCCCTAAGGCTTTACAATGCCATGAGTATGTAAATGAATAAACAACATGTACTGATGAAAGTGACCAACAGAAAAGCATATTAGAATCAAAGCCAGGAAAAACATGTGAAAAAGAAAGGTAACATTTCTTAAAAGATTCGTTGGCCAGGCCACAGTGGCTCAGAGGCTGAGTGTAGACCTATGAACCAGGAGGTCACGGTGCGATTCTGGTCAGGGCACATGTCTGGGTTTTGGGCTCAATCCCCAACAAGCGAAGTGTAGAAGGCAGCCGATCCATGATTCTCTCTCATCATTGATGTTTCTCTCTCTCTCTCCCTCTCCCTCCCCCTTCCTCTCTGAAATAAATAAAAATATATTTAAAAGGAGGAAAAAAAAAGATTACTTTGCTAGCTGGTACCTCTTGGCAAGACTGCAACTAGTGATGTTTGTACAACCAAAGACACTATTTTATAGTTTAAGGGGGAAAAATTGACTATGTTTTACTTTCCGGAAAGAAAAAAAAAAAAAAAGATTAGCCTGATAGCAGTTTACATAGAACCAATTGGGAAGGGAAACATGGCTGGGAAGCCATTAAAATAATCCCAGCATAAGAGCATGAGGGCCCAACGGGAAACAATAGTAAGAATGGATATGGAGAAAAGTAAATCTCTGCCAGACCTTCCAAAAGGAAGAAAGAACTGAAAATGACTCGGGTTCTTACATGATAAGATAAGATGCCTATTACCAATAACACACACACTAGTTTTCAATAACCAGTTTGAGGGCAAAATTACATTACAAGCCAAAGAGAAAGCAGGAGAAAGTAGTAGTTGAGATCTAGGGTCACAGAGTCTCAGCTCCAGAGAGGACAGTGGATGGAACCGCGTGATTGGACTCTGAGAAAGAAGGTACCCACTGAGAACGCTCAAGGCTCACTGGGCTCAAGATTATAAAATGGAACCTGCCAGCTGTTTCTACGCCTAGCCTCTCAGACCAGCTGTTTCAGGGATAACATCTTCGCCAACAATCAGAGCGGCTCCAAGCTGGACAGTGCTTTTGGGACCAAACAAACGGTGAGAAACTAGTCCTCGTTCGCATGAGGAAGAACCAATTGGCCAGGGCCAGCGGCAGGGACTTCTCTAAGTCAGCTCCCACCCCTGTTCATTGAAGACAAGGCTATTTCCCCAGCTGGAGATGAAACACCACAGACGCCTCCCCACCCACCCGAGGGGGAGAACAGGCAGAGCCGGCAGACCGAGCTGTCTGGCAGAGGGCCTCGCCCAGCCACCTCCAGTGCACTGCCTCATGGCTGAGCTGTAACACCGCGTTCCATCACACGAGCTGTGTGCACTGATAAAGTCTCTTCACCGCTCTCTCTCCAAATTGGGGTTTCCTATTGGTGTTCAATCAGCTGACAACACTTAAACTCTTCATGCTTCTACTTCTAAAAACGTAAAATACAAATGGCTCCTTTCTCCATTTCAAATGTTTTTGAAAATTATTGAAAAACATTTTACATTTCCCCCAATAACCTAATTACATTTCACTTAATCAACCTAATGGGAGGGAGGGGGGTAAAAAAAAAATCAATAAAATATGTAAAAAAAAATCAATAAAATATGAAAAAAATAAAAAATAAAAAAATAAATAAATCAACCTAATGATCCTTGGAGTCATGTTAATAAAAAACCAGACATGTTAATAAAAAAAAAACAAAAAAAAACAGAAATTAATCTCAACAAAAAATACTCAGAACAATTAGAAAAATTGCAATTCCCTTTGTAAGATGAAATTAATTTTCTCATTGTTCTGCTTGTTAAAAAGTTTAGTTACAATCATAAAGCTTTTTATCCGTGTATGTGTGAAATGCCTCATACTCTAGAATATACTTTCATTAAGCTAAATTTAAAAATTTGGCAGAATTCTTTTTCTTTGCATAAAAAAAAAACTGAACAAAGGATACCTAGTTTGAATTTAAGAAAAATAACAATAAATCCTATAAAAACAATCAAAATCCAGATATGTCTAACAGCTTGCTCTATTTTAAAATGTGATGAGATTCTTTCAAACCATGACAGAAAATGTAACATTACACTTTTAATAGTGTAAAACCTGCCCAAAATAGATGTTTGTCATGTTAAAAATTTCACATCTTCATAGAAACCAAGCTAAGAGCCACTGACTCACTTCCCTTACCCTTAGTCACATCGTTAAGGCAGTCACGGGACTGTAAACGGTTTTAAATTAACGCCAATCAAAGCCTCAAAGCCGCAGAAAACCTGATGTGCTTAGAGACCCCTGCTCCTCAGCAAGCATTCTTCTACCTGCTGAAAGTCACTATGTTTCTAGTTAAGTCTCTGTCCTCTACAATAAAAAGTATCAGCTCACATCAGAAATCAGCAGATTGCTACAGTTAGATGAGAAATGTACATGTGGCTTTGGGATGAAGAATACACAATTCTAACTACTTAGTAAGTTGATTTTCATCCCTTAATGCAAGTGTTTTATGCTCAAGAAACATTCAATGCACCTGAGCTAAGTCACCTAAAGTCCTTTCCAAAAAGGAAAGTTCCTTTCCACGACCCCAATCCATACACACACACACACACACACACACACACACACACACACACACACCCCAAATACCACCAAAACCCAAATCCTATAAAAATAATTATTAAATAGGGTAGACAACTTCATTAACCTCTTTATAGTATAATTTGGATTTTAAACAGCCTAAATAAAATTCCTTCAAATTTCAGTTGCAATGTCAAAGATATTGAAAGTTCTAATGCCATACTTTCAGGATTTAAATTAGGAAAAGAAATCCAACCTGGCTGAGGTGGCTCAGTTGGTTGAGCATGGGCCTATGAACCATGAGTTGACGGTTCGATTCCTGGTCAGGGCACATGCCGAGGTTGTGGGCTCCATCCCCAGAAGTAGGTGGTGTGCAGGAAGCAGCCAATCAACGATTATCTCTCATCATTGACATTTCTCTCTCTCTCTCTCTCTCTCTCTCTCTCTCTCTCTTCCTCTCCCTCTCCCCCTCCCTCTTTCTGAAATCAATAAAAATATATTTAAAATAAATAGAAAAAAATCCAAAATTTTGTTCACTGATGGCTTATTGTGTATCAATTTATTTCTTGAAAAGTGTATTTAGGTTGTTCGTATGTTTTACAAGTAAAACAGATTTAAAAAAACTACAAAAAAAAATCCTGTTCCTTTATTGTTTCAGTGATTTTAAAAAGCTCTAAAATTACCTAATTATATTCTTTGCTGCTAAAAATAAAAAGTTACTTATTGTGGGCATGTTTGCTATGACACATAAAATTTCTTATAAATGAAAAAACAAACAGCTGCTCTACTTTTAAAAATTAAGACAAAAACAGAAACAGACAAAAATACCAGAAAAGTAACTAGAATCATCCATAGTATGATGCTTAGTAATTTGGGCCTAGTGGATGTGAAAATGAAAAGTATTGTGGTTTAGGTGTTTCAGAACTGTATCTTCAGATGGAGGCATTTGAAAGGGATGTTCAAAAACAATAAAAATCTAGGTCTGTTTCTTTGCTGCTCTCTCTCTACCTGTTTTTTAAACTTACATATTTAATGGGGGCCATCTCCTCAAATTTTGAAGATTTTTTAAAATTTTCAATTGATTTTCAGAGAGGAAGGGGAGGGGGGAGAGAAAAACATCTGTGTGAGAAACAGTCATCAGTGCCTCCCACACCACCCTAGGAGATGGTACCCCAATCTGGGTATATCCCTGACCCGGAATCGAACCCACCGGGATGGCACGCCGACCAACTGGACCACACAGGCCAGTGGGCTTGTCCTCGCTATCCCTCTTAATTTGTATTTATAAATTGAATTTGCATTTAATATTTCTAAACTATGGAGTAGCTTGCTAGGGACTGAGCAAATCCCTTCCCAAATCCACACTCGGAAGCCCTCCCCCCAATTGGCGGGTCTGGAGATGAGATGATCTGGAGACGAGGTGGTGAGGTCACCTCAGGAGATTGTGCCACTAGAATAAGACACCAGACAGCTCCCCGCCAAGACCTCGGCCGGCCAGCCTCCAGACCGGAGGAAGTCAGCCGCTGGCTGAATCACCATCTGTGGCATTTCATGGCAGCGAGGGGGGCGATCGCGTGTGCAAAGCCAAAGGGCTGCCTGCGCTCTTCCCAAACAGCACCTGCCCACCTTTGGCTGAGCAGCTCCGGGACTCCTTACGCTTATTATTCTTTCCTCTTTCTTTAGCCAAGGTATCAAAAGCGGGTCATTTTCCCCAAAAGGTTCCTTCTGGCCAAGTGAAACACGGTCAGGATTCGCAACGACTTGCACCCAACAGAACACTGGAACCGTCACGCATACCAGGAGAACCGCACACTGCCCTGTGCGCCGGGATGGACGGAGACCACTTACCCACTGAAATAAGCCCCTAAAGCCACTTCCATAGCTGTGTCCTAATGTCAGAGCTTCACCAACCACTGAATGGAAGAATGGGTAAGGATGGAAGTTGAGCCGAGACCGGTGTGGCTCAATGGATAGGGCATCGGCTTGGGGACTGAAGGGTCCCAGGTTCGATTCCGGTCAAGGGCATGTACCTTGGTTGCAGGCACATCACCAGTGGGGGGGGGGGGTGTGCAAGAGGCAGCTGATCAATGACTCTCTCTCATGGATGTTTCTAACTCTCTCTCTGTACGAAATCAATAAAATATATTTAAAAAATAAAAAAAAGAATGGAAGTTGAACTCCTCACTTTGGAAGCCGGGGCCACATCCTGGGTAGAATGCGTCCTCAGACCCAGGCCGCCACCAACCGGCCCACCCGGCCCACCCGGCACACCGGGCACAACCTGCACACGTTCTCGGCCGCGGGCTGCTCCGTGGGGAGGACGGGTGCTCCTCCAAGAATGCACGGAAGCCGGCTTCCGGGGAGTCTCCGGCCATTTCTAATCACTCCGATCGATCGAACCCATGCAATAAAAGGGGGCGGGGCGGGGCGGGGGGAGGAAGGTGGTCATTTTGAAAAAACTCTCTCGGCGGAAAAGGAGGAAAAAAGCGAGAAGAACCCAGATCCGCACGCGGGCGTGAAACCGGAGCCTCGGGACTGGTTCTGACCGGGAGTTCCAGCTCCTGGACGGGGCTCCGGAGGGGCGGCCCTCCCCGAAAGGAGGGGCGCTCACCCTCCCACAGCAAATGGGCATTTCGGTCCCAGCCCCCCGGGGCTCCGCGCAGAAAGCAGTCGTTTGGAATGCCCGGAACCGTGATTCACACACACACACACACACACACACACACACACACACACACACATATATGATGATAACATATATAGATAATTTATGTGTCATCAGCTTTGACCGCAGTGGTCTGAGATGCGGGCTTGGATGAGCCGGCCCTGGCGCATCCTGAGGGGCATCTTACCGCCCGCAGGGCGGGGTCCGGGGCGGGAGGGCGGGAGGGCGGGAGGCCTCCCGGGCTCGGCCCGGCGGGTGAGGCCACGGAGGAGGCCGCGCCAAGCGCAGGAGGTCTGTTCGCGAGGAAAAGGCTCCAGACTCGCCGCGCGCAACCCCGCGCCCCGCGGCCCCTTCGTCTCGGGCGGCGGGCGCGGGGGCGCAGGGGCGCGGGGGCCGGGCCCGGAGGGAACAAAGCCGCCGCGGGCGGGCGCCGCTGTCAGCCAGCAGCCGGAGCGGGACCGGCCCCCGCCCCTCCGCGCCGCCCGCCGCCCGCCGCCCGCCGCCCTGGGGCGCAGCCTGCGGTCCGGGCGCCGCGGGGCCGCCAGCCCACAGGCCGGCCCGCCGCTCGGCCGCCCGGACCACAGCCAACCGCCGCCGGCAACGGCCGCCCGCCCGCCCGCCCGCCCGCCCGCCGCCCGCCCGCCGCCCGCCGGCCCGCCGCCCACCTGTTGGTCGCACTCGGGGCACGACTTGGTGGCCATCTTCACTTTCTTGGCTCGACTCGCAGACATGCTCCCCTCGGGCGGCGGCGGCGGCGGCGGCGGCGGCGGCGGCGGCCCGGCTCCTCCCCCCGCACCTCAGAGGCCCAGCCTCCGCCCGCCGGTCCCGCGGCCCAGACTGAGGCGCGGCTCGGCGAGCGCGCGCGTGCGCGCGGGTGGGCGGAGCCTGCGTGCGAGGGGTGCCTTGGAGATGGGCGTGGTCTGTGTTGGGGGCGTGGCCTGTTGTGAGGGGTGTGGCCTGTTGTGAGGGGCGCGGCTGCCAGGGGGCGTAGCGCGACGTGGCGTGCGCTAGCTCCGTGGGACTCGGGACCGCGCTCCCACCCACCCACCCACCCACTCAATGGCATCGGGATTCTCATCAGGGGGCAGACGGGCGGACCTTCCCGCGAGATTATGGCCACGCCTTCTCTCGGTTAGGCGAACAGCGTGGAGGCGTGGCTCGGACGGGATTTGACAATGGGCATCTGGCTCGACCAATGAGTGCACAGAACACCAGTAGGTGCTGGCCACGCCTCGCCCCGGAAGGAAGGAGAGAGGGGGAAGAGGAGGAGGAGGGCTGTAGTCCTGGTGGTTAGTTAGTAACAGTAAGTAACTGCATTCAGTTAGTAACTGTTAGTAAGCCTAATCATTGCGGAGCTTAGACATCTGATGAGTCTCCTCTATGCCAGGCCCTAGGGTCAGCGCCGCGAGAGACAATATTCGTTGTCCAATATTTATAGAGGGCCAGTCTGCCACACGAGTGGGAATACTAGGAAGTGCTGAACCTCAGAATCACCTAACATTCCACTCCTGAGGAGTTGGGTGGCTAATGGGAAGAGTAAAGCGGTTGAAATCCACTTATTTATTTATGGAAATAAATATCCTGAGGTGAGGATTTAAAAAAAATATTTTTAAAGAATAACAACATTAAATATTAGTGAGAGGGAGTATAAAATGGTGTAATCATGTTGGGAAAATGAAATATACACATAGCCTCGGACTCAGGTGCTCCGATTTTAGGTATTGACCCGAGAAATGTAAACATGTCCACAAAAAGCCTCTGCAAGAATATTCATAGCAGCTTTATTCATAAAAGCTAGAGGATCACTGTAAAATTCAAGTACATAAAGTATACTTGAACATGTTTGAACATTTTCATAAGTTAGAGAAAACAAAACCTACTTATTTAAAAAACTGTTCATTTGGCTTTTAATTACTTGCAATATACATCCCTTACAATAAGGATGAACCTGGCCCTTGCATTTATTCATTCACTGAACAAACATTAACAGGTGTCTACTATGCACTAGACTCACACATGTGCACTCCCGGGTTGCCCCTCACCCTCCTGGAGCAGCTGGCAGCCCGGGTCCGAGTGCCTGTCCGTCTCTGGGCTCAGCCGGGATCTAGGAAGTGCCAGGGTGAACCATATGAAATTGCCTTCTGTAGGTCAAAAGGAAAATGCTGTATTTAAAAAAAAAAAAAAATAGCTTCATTCAACCTAAAATATGCACTAATAACATTAGCTGTTTTCTCCAAGTGATAAACGTCCCCCAATAGTAAAGGATATAGACTACATTTATAAAATCCAGTCCTGTTAAAAGATATTCATTCCGGCTTCTCAGTCGGAGAATGTTCTGTTTCTTAGTTACAATGACAAGAAGCGTGGTGGTCTGTTTTAAAAGGTCAGGGAGCCTCATGGACCGCTAGTTCCTTCGCCCGATTCAGGCGCCTCCGCGTGGCGCTCTGTGCCGTCCGCGGTCACCTGTGGTCACGGGAAGGCAGACCAGGCTAAGCTATTCGGGTCCGTGAGTTTCACTGTGTGACAACGCGAGCTCGTTTTAAAACGGTAAAAGCGATCTGGGGTAACAAGCAGTGTTGAAACACCCTTTTGCATACCACCAACCGTTACCAGATCCTTTTTTTTAGTGGAACGGCGGTTTTGACATGTTTGGGAACTTCATCAACATCCAACCACTGTCCAGATCAGATCACTTTCAATTTCATTTCTGTCACACTCATGACGCCGCATCAGGTCTCTCCAACCACCTGTTTATGGTCATCCATCAACGGCTGTCACCCACTCGTCCAGCTTTTTCACCTTCCCGATGGCGGCCAGGTGTCGAGAAATGGTGGTGGCGGAAACGCCGAGGGCGGCGGCGAGGCCCCGGGTGGCGTTCTTGGGGTTGGCTTCCACCAGGGCTCGCAGCTCGTCCTCGCTGAGGACAGACCTGGGTCTCCCGAGAGGCTCGTTCTTCAGGCTCAGGTCCCCGGAACGGAACTTCTCAAACCACCAGCGGATCGTCCTCCCGTTGACAGCGCCTTCTCCAAAGACGGAGGCGATGTTCCGGCTGGCCGTGGCTGCGCTGTGGCCAGCTTAAACTCGTATAAGAAAAGTATTCGCAAATCCTGCGAAGACATGGTTTTGCTCACTTCTGTGGAGAAAGTAAACAGGAGCCCAGTCATCGAAGACGGCTGAGGAGCACGTCATCATCACGGACCCTAAACAACACGAGTGAGCAGACCTGACACCTACTTCCAGCAGTTACGTGTGGCGGCCGGCAGCAGCAATCTCATTCAGAGGGAAGTGCGTGGAGCACAGTTTCTATCCGGTGGATGTTAAGTTGGAGTCTTTTGGTTTTCCCATAGGAATCCAACTGCTAGTAATTTCATAAGCATCTACCACAGAAAAAAATTATTTTGAGCCTTAACTGGTTTGGCTCAGTGGATAGTGTCAGGCTGTGGACGGAGGGGGTCCCAGGTTCAATTCCAGTCAAGGGCATGGACCTAGGTTGCAGGCACATCCCCAGTAGGAGGTGTGCAGGAGGCAGCTGATCGATGTTTCTAACTCTCTATCCCGCCTCCCTTCCTCTCTGTAAGAAATCAATAAAATATTTTTTTAAAAGGAAAAATTATTTTGAACTAAAATATGAATTGTGCTGCCCTAGCTGCTTTGGCTCAGTGGATAGAGCGCCAGCCTGTGGACTGAAGGGCCCCAGGTTCGATTCCGTCAAGGGCATGTACTTGGTTGCAGGCAAATCCCCAGTGGAGGGTGTGCAGAAGGTGGCCAATCAATGATTCTCTCACATCATTGGTATTTCTCTCTCTCTCTCCCTCTCCCTTCCTCTCTGAAATCAATAAAATATATATTCAAATATACGAGTTGTGCCTTGAGAGCCAGGAACTCACACCTTCCATTCTTTTCAGTGCTCTCAACTTAAGATCTCAGATCGATGGGATGCTTGGAAAAACATCCTCCCATGATGCGCTGGTAAGCAGCTGTCCCTGTACTTTCTGAATGTTTTCAGGTCTGCCTCCTCCCTGTCTCAGGGGATCTGAATGACTGCCACTTAACAGACTCCCAGCTTCTTTTAGCCTCTCTCTTTCACTGCTCTTGGCTTCAGACTTGATTTTGGTGTAGACGAGTAGAAATAACTTACTTTAGGGACGTGGAAGAACCGTTTGCCTAAGTTTGCGCCCCACCCCAGCAGTCGCATCTTTTAAATGGCTCTATAGTCCACAGCCCAGTAACGCACAACCATAACACACCTTTCCTACACTCAGCAAAAGTTTTTTTTTTTTTTAAAAAGGAAGAGAAATTCAGCAGAATTCAATTCTGGGCAAATTTGGGGGGAAATTGTGGGGCAGTAAGGAGGATTTCTCTTTCAACACCTTTAATTCCAGTCCTGTACAAATACACATCCCTTCCCAGCAACTGTTCTGCCTTCCAAGACGATGAATACCCTTGCTTAATTTCTAAGTTACACTATTTCAAATAAGTCAATAATTAATCTTCTACTACAAGAGCAGAAAAAATGTGACCTCAACCATAAATACTATTACAAAATATATATATATCTTGCAAACTATAAGGTATTAGGAAAGTGGGTAGCTTTATTTTAATTTCTAATATACTGAAAGCAATTTACCCTATTGTTCCTAATGGCACTGACATTGAGGAGAAAGGTTTCCTGTCGATATAGATTTAATTAATGCAAGAAGCCAGCTCTTCTACTTCAAACATGCTGTTGAGATACAATCAAAGACAAAACTTGTTTTACTACAGATCTAAATCCAAAAGCAAAAGATTTTCCCAAATGCATAGGGGGGCAGGGAACCTCAAAGCCACTGTGGTGAGGGGTCACGGGAATAGAATTCATACCTCAGAACTGCATACAAATAATAGAACAATCCAAAACAGAGACATTTTCAGGCAGGTTAAAATAAGACATTCTGCCCTAGCCCGTTTGGCTCGGTGGACAGATTGTCAGCTTACAGACTAAAGGGTGCCGGGTTTGATTCCAGTCAAGGGCATGTACCTTGGTTGTGGGCACATCCCCAGTAGGGGGTGTGCAGGAGGCACCTGATCGATGTTTCTCTCTCATTGATGTTTCTAATTCTCTCTCCCTCTCCCTTTCTCTCTGTAAAAAATCAATAAAACATATTTTAAAAATTAAAATTAAAAAGGAGGAGAGGAGAGGAAGAGAGAGAAACATTGATTGGCTGCTCTGACTGAGACTATAACCAGCAACCACAAAGTACATGGGATGATGCTCAACTGAGCTACACGAGCCAGGGCCCAATAGACTTTTAATATTATAACTTTAAAAATAAATAAATAAATTATAACTTCAGCAGCAGAACAAAAATTAACTTTTAATCTATATAACAAAAACCATAAAAGCTGAAAAGATGGTAAACTTGCAATTACCTGTAAAAGGTGATGACTTATCTGACTGTTTCACTTTCAGGAGTTTCCTATTAATAAATATATAACCACAGGGACAAGATTTACATGCAACAGGAACCTGGAGGGAAAAAGAGAGAACATATATTACCTTAGACTTTTTAAGTGTTTCTGCGGTCTCTTCAACTAAACAATAAGTAACCTGAAGGAAGCAATCACATTTACATTTAAATTCTACCTCCTCATATGCACTGAGATAAGAATCACATCTAGCCCTGGCCAGTTTGGCTCAGTGGATAGCGCATTGGCCTGTGGACTGAAGGGATCCAGGTTCAATTCTGGTCAA